TGCAACAGAGACGGAAGCCAATCTTCTAGTAACATCCTAAGAGACATTTTTATGAACTTCAGAGCAGGAAGTAATCTTTCATCAGGTACACTTTCTGACAAGGATATATCAATGCATATATTTCTATGAAAGGATATGAACAGGCTGGTGGGAAAACTAGCATTCTTTTCCACAGATAAAAATAATAGAAGAAAAAAAGGTAGCATGTCTTTTCAAGGTCAGTGAAATAGCAATTTGTTTTAAGGCCCATGTATTACTCATAAAATCATACTTGTCTTTTTCTGCCTGGAGAATTCTTTTCCTCCTCCCAATTCATTTTTTCTCCCTATTTTTCTCTCTTGGTTTTTCTTCAGTTTATTTTTCCTCACTTAACCTCTGACTTTATCTGATGCTAAAAAAGGACAAAAGGCAAAAGCCTACAGGAACCAGCATGGTCAGAATCTTGTCTTTTACTGACATTTTACTGTCCAGCACTGCCTTTTAATTCGTGGGAGAGAGCAGCATTTCATGCTGTATATATTGCTGACATGTGGAATCAGGAAAAACAGTCACACTCCTGACTTCCTTTGAGAGTGGCTCCCTCAGCCAGGAAACAATTCCCTTAATGAAGCAGACATGTAATACCAGGGCAGCCCAGCAGCCTTTGTTGTATTCAAATCTTGTATGCATGGCAGTATTTTTTACCTCTACTCATAACCTTGGTACATTTATAGGTGTGTTGAATTTTCAGGTTTTAAATCATCACAGTAAAAAATAGCTAAATCATTCTTATTTATTGGGAAAGTCCCATTTTTGTCACAGCAATCTTATTTTAAATGTAAATGTCCCAGATTTAGGTTTCATAGGAAGGAGGAGGTATAATGTAGAAGGTACAACAATTAAAACTATATAAAATAGACTTTCATGTCTCTGAGAGTTTGTTTACTCTTTCAGCTGTTCTCACTTTAAATTCACCAAATCAAGATATGAAGCACATGAAAGGCTTGGGCTATTCTGCCTTTCACATCATTAAAATGTAGTGCTGTTCTCAGGATAAGCTTTGTTGCTGTCTGATAAATATTCATAAAAGTCAGTGAATGCAATTCAGCAGAGTTCTGTAATCTCACAAAATAAATACTTCGGAAAAATCCTATCAGCTCTGCTAAAATTGCCTGTACTTTTATACAGTTTCCTCAGGTAAAAAACCCAAAAACCAATAGTAAGAGTTAAGCATTATATTGTCACATATTACAGGCACAGAATTACTAGAGACTTTTCTAGGATTTGGTTTTTTATTCTCTGTGATAAGAGTAACGTTGCAGAAGCTGATAGGTGTTGAAGTAACGGCAAAAAATTAAGGAGCAGTCTAGGGTCCCACAAGGACTGCAGCTCTGTGCTGTGCCTCAAGGGAAAGTTAGATGAGGTGAAGCGCTGTTTGGTTAGGTGGGATGGGTATAATTTGCATAAAGCAAAATACAAATATTTGAATTCAACTAAAATATAATGTAGACATTGTCAACATACTCTTCCTTGAAGTCTTTATTTTAAAGCACCGAAAAAACGCAAACCATGAGAGTAATGATAGCACTGATCCTGACTATTGAGCTGCAGTGACTTAGACTGTACATGTTTGATCACTTTGAAAAACAGTTTTCCCACTGGCATGGTTCTCTCAGCACACACTTGCTGCATACCAGCTCCTGCTGTCATCAATCAAGGATTTTTGTCAGACTGTACCTTCATGCCTGCATTGATTATGAGTTTGGCATTTGAATCACTCTTTTTTCTAGACCTGTTTAATACCAGAGATATTCTAAGGGCAAAATGCTTTTGCAGACAGGATGAAATTATGGAACAAGAGAGCAGGTCGTAGTGTTGTTCAGTAAACGACCACAGAAGTACACTTGACACAAGCATTACTATTGGTGCTTCTCCTCCAGTTCAGTAAGGGCGGGAAAAAGAATATTTTGAGTTGGAGTATTTTGGGGAGAATACATCAAGGTATTCTTTTCTAGCTCTCTCCAGCAGACCCCAAATTTTATCTCTAAACTCATCTAGGACCCACTGCTGTTCTCAAGCTAGTCTGCCTACTCAAGGGTCTTTTGGCAATCTTAGGAAGAGTCTTTGAGTTGAAAGAAGGACTTTTACTTCACATTGATAGCTGTTAAGTCTGAACTATGTTTTGACCCACATCAAGTATAGCCTGGTGCCACAGGTAAATGACTCCCTGGGCATTTTCGTATTTCTCCCACAGAAGCCAGATGAAATGCGTGACCCTGTTTTCCTCCCTGTTTCACGCCCTAGTTGGGAAGATAAAAACCCAGCTGGGATTTGCCTCCTGCCTCCCCAGGTGATGGGGAAATTGCTGGAGGGAGGTTCCTGGGCTGACTCAGAGCTTCAAAGCACGGTTCCGAAGGGTGGTACCAGCACGCTCCTCAGAGCTACTACACTGGGGAGCCAGCCAGGACCACCCGCTATTGTTGCGCGGAGGCTGCTGGTGTCACGGTACCCGCGGTACCCCGGGGGAGCGCAAAGCAGCCGGGGCCGCCCGACACCCGCTGGGTCTTCGGCACAAGGGGCCGGGGCTCCGGGCACTGCAGCGGCCGCGAGCTGCCCGCTCCGGGAGGCGCGGGTGGACCGGCGGCCCCAGGGCCTTGAGGCGAGGACGCGCCGGGTCAGAAGCGCTCCCGGCCGCCCCGCCGCAGCGATTTAGTGAAAGTACTCAGGGGCTGCGGGGAGAGAGATTTCCAAAAGGGGTGATTTCTCCGGGGAAGGCGGGCTGAGCTGTGTGGGGGAAAGGAACGCAGCGGGCCGCTGGGGTCGAGGGAGGGCCGCGCCGTCGCACTGACCCGTGCGTTCAGCCCCGCCGCCAGGTTGAGGCTCCCCCGCCCGTTGCAGGCCCCTCCCAGCTGGCGCGCGTCAGCTGGGCGCGAGGCGGAGCTGAGGAGCGAGACGCGTGCCGGGAACGTGCCGGGAACGAGGCGGCTGCGAGGACCGATGGATCCCGAGGGCGCGGTGAGGAGCCCGGTGGGGCCGCGGGGCCGGGCAGCCACCCCGGAGGGCGGCAGGGCGGGCGGGCAGCGGGGCCGTCCCGCCGGGGCGCCCCGGCTCGCGCCCGCCCGCGCGGGGCCGCCATTTTGTCTGTGGCGGCCTCAGGCTGTGGAGAAGCCGCTGGCGGCCCCGGGTGTGCGGGACACGGTGCCGGGGCAACGGGGCCTGGCTCGGACCTTACAGCACACGGACTGTGGAAAGTAGAGGTGTTTAGGGAGCTAAATGCGCTTAATCACCAGGCGATCGTGGAGTCAGGTTGTCTGACCGTGGCTGTGTTCAGTGTAAAAATGAAAATAGCGATTCTCTAATGAGCAGTTGCCAGATGCACTAAGTAACCCGTCAAAATATTGATGAATTTATATGTCCATAATTTTTAGGGAAATTGATAGAAAGTAAGTTTGCAAAACAGTAGAAATAAATATTTAGGCAAATGATGTGCAGATGGCACATATTTGGGTTTTTAAATACTGTTTTCTTATTGCCACAGTGATGATAAAGAGGTGGTTATCATGGTACAGATTTTAACATGTAACACTTAAAACTCACTGGGATTTACTGTATTTAGTGTTGTGAGTTCATAAGTGGTGTGTTTAATTCCTTATTTCTTCCACTGGGGCTTTTGCATTTGTGGCTTTTTTAAATATATTGCCTCTTAAAGTGTTTACGGAGAAAATGCAATTTGGGCTCTTTGAGATAAGGACTACATTTTGGCTGTGCTGTCACCTGTTAATTGTTACAGTTGAATCCAGAAGTCTTCTTACTGAATACAATTGTCAGATGATTGTAAAGTTGGAGTGTTGTCTTCTGTGTGAGAGATGCAGAATGTAACTGGTTTTGTCCCTCAGGAGTTTTTTGCTGCAAAAATGAGTTCTCTTGGGGGCTGTAGTGACTGTGTTGGTTCCTTGCTTACTAGAGGTAGGGTTTGTTCAGGTCATTACTCTAGGGTAGTACTCCCAGTAGGAGAGATGTGTACTAGGTTCTCTTAAACAGTTAACAGCCTCTTCTGCCCCAAGTGTGTGTGTTTTAGTACATTTGGAAAGGACTTGTATCTTCTCTAAAAATTGTGTGAACTAAGCTGGATTTATTGTCTTTAAGATATCCACAATAATAGCATTAACCCATTACTAGAATTAGTAGCAGTAACTCTTAGATAGCTCAAGAAGTATCAGATAATCCTATTGGAGAAGTTAGTGACAATGCTATGTGGCTGCTTTCCAGCTATTATCTTCACAGTTAGGGTTGACTTTGTAAGACACTATTATTTTGTTTTGAAAAGAGTTTGCAATAAAATAGTTTCATGGTTCACAAGTGTAAGCATGCTGGAAGTTAGAAAAGGCAGGCTTCACCAAATAGTGGTTTCCATGATATCCCATTGTGTTATGTTCTTTTACTGTTGCAAGAACAATCTGGTTGGTCTTCTGCAGAGGGAATTTCTGTTCAGACTGCAGTGTGCCATGTTTGTAGGCCAAGAGGGTGTTGAATTAAAATACCAGTCTTAAATACCTGTTCTCATGGTGTATGGAACATGTTGATTCATGTGGTGGAATTATAGGTGCTTGACACTTGGAAAATGAACCAGAGACTGTTGCAGAGAATAGAGTTGTGTAGATGTGCGAGCACAGCTTGAGTTTAAAACATCCATTCTATATAGGTTTAAAATAAGGTCTAGTAGATAGAAGATACTTTGTGTAATAGGATTCATAACATGAAATTTATGCAGCTGGGTTCTTTGCAGTTGAACCAAGATTGGTGTCCAGTTTGGAAGAGTGTTTAACATTGGACTTCAGACCATGGTGTATTCACCAAGTTACTGAATTAAGATCAAGCTTGTGTTTAGACAGTGAGCTACATTCTGAATAAAAAATACATGGTTAATGTTCAGTATCTGCTGTGCCTTCCAAAAAATTCTGTATGCATTGTCTGTTGAGAGTTGTTTCATTTACTGACAAATAATGTGTAAGATTTTGAAAATGTTTTCTTTCAATCAGCAGGCCACTGATCAGATGCAAACAGAATCTTTACCTTCATGTCCCAACACTGTGTCACCGGTGAGGTTAAATAATCTGATCGGTTCTCCAAGGTTTGGAACAGTTACTCCAAATCGTGTCTTTGTTGGAGGAATTGATTTTAAGGTATTCTTCCCTCTTTTTGATGCTAAATTATAGTTTGTAGCCATATAGAAATCAACAGAGGAAAAAAGAAAGACACAATCATGTGTATTTGTTTAGTTGGTAAATCCACTTCAATAGCCAAACCTACAGAAGAGAATAATGCTTTAAGCCTTGATTTGCATAACTGTCCTACAAAGTTGGCTCTACACCTAGCTGCTAGAAGCTTTAGACACACCTTTTATTTAGAGTTTTCTTTTTTCAAAGAAGATAGTTTTTGCCATCAGCAAAGCTGATGGCAGAAAAGCATGTGGAAGGTTTTGTTTATGTATACCATTTAGTGTAATTTAATAAACTGTCACAATGTTTCATATAGCCGGTGGAGCAACCCTCAGTGGCTTTTGTTCCTCTAACACTTCTGGTTCACACAAAGGTGTGTGTATTCCTTGCCATAGTAATTTTCTTAAAGGCAAGTTTGTTTTTAAAAGAAGTATGTAAGCTTCTCTGGGTATTTTACAGTATGGATCTTAATTCATAGAATGCTTGTGCCTTTGTGTATTCCCTAAAATCTTTAAATAGCAGTGAACATTTGGCCACTCTCACCTTGTTCAGTTGATTTTAACGTTTGTGACAAGGTTAAGGTTTTTTCTCTCTTCCCTCTTTAGATAATGAATTAAGCCATTGACTTTTGCAAAACGTGCTTGGTCTGCTTAGCTGTTGCTTTCTTCCCACCAAGAGTATCTTTCCTGCCTTAATCCTCCTAGTCTGAGACCTTGTGAGTAGTGACTCATTTGAAGAGGAGCAAGAATTGTCAGTTCACGCAGACTGTTTTGCATAACAAATGCAAGAAATTCCAGAATCTTCTAGTTTATTTGGCTGAGATAATTCAAATAGAGGTGTTCATGTTTTAAGATGTACAAGACCTTCAATACATTTGGACTTTAATATTAAAGTGGCACAGTAGATTTTTGCACCAACAGTAAGCAAATTACTGAAGCTGTATAAAAACCTCTCTTGCTCTCTTCTGCCTTCTCTGCAGTTTCAAAAGTTAAAATACTTTTCTGTCTAACATCAATATTTTTATTAATTATCATACTTGCCATTCATTTTAAAGGGTCTCTTGACTTGGTTCAGTTGCTGATACTTCAAAATTTATTATTAAATTGTATTTTCAACAGTGGTTTAAGCATGTTTGTAATCATAAAGAGGATGAAATTTTTTGTGGAGGGGAGAGGAAATAGAAGGGATGAAAACTATAGCCATTTTAGTTGCTCTTCCATTTGGTATTGTTCTTTATATGAAATACAACCTTAAATTTCTGATCTAATCCTTATTGGGTTTATGTGTCAGTCTTGAATTGGTTTCTATTGGCAATCTCATGGCAAAAAGTATGGGGTTTTTTGGGGTACTTTTTTTAAGCCAAAGGTCTCATTTAAGTCACTTGGGGTGATGCAAAAGCTATTGACATTATTCTTCTGAAAAAGGGAGACAATTAACAAAAATTTACTTGCTTTCTAACAAGCTCTTTTAAGATTTTGCCATTTTGTCTATCACCATGGCAGTGATTCCTGTTTGTGAGAGGAAACGCCTCTCTCAAATTTAGAGAAGCAATTCAGTAAGGGAAATTACAGTTGGGAACGTTTTCATCTTGGTCTGAAGAGCTCTTTCTTTAGTGGTGCAGGCCATGTGTCATTGGCATAGGCTAATGATAAGCCTTTACCTTCCTTAAAAGAGTCTGACAAGTGCCTTTGTCTTATCATAAGCAGGAAAAGGCAGGTCCTGAATGTGTTTCTCATAAGTTTCTAAATACCATGTTTGCACAGATGCTTGCAGATTTCACTGTGATCTTAGAACAGCATTGCACTGCTTAGAACAGAATGCACTGCTCTGCACATAAACCTTTTTCTTTCCCAATTCATAGACTCATGTAGCAAGCCCTTATGTCCTTGGGTAATACTTAGAGCACCAATCAATTTCATACTTGGATGAGGTACATGAACCTTTCATGTGCTGGAGAGGATTCCCTAAATTGTATACAAATAATCAAAGTCATTCACTTAGAAGTAAAACAGTACTTGATATACTTTAAATTAAGGAAAAGTATAGATGAATGATGCATGCACATATAACCATGCTTCTCACAGTGTTAGGTGTAGCATTAACTAAGGGCTACATAGAACAAAACTTAAAATTCAAACGAGGTGCTTACAGCATCATGTGTGATATATACTTACATTGTAAAAAAAGATTGTTAGAAGACAGAGGAGTGTTCACAAAGCTTAGGTGAGCCTTTATATTAGCAAGTTATTTTATTCCCTGCATGCTTGGAAGGGGGCAGATCCTTACAAGTTGGCTTAGACCATTCTAATTTCTCCATTGAAATAACATTTTCTTACTTACAGTGGGGAGTTCCTATAGTGCACCTGTACCTATTTGCAGACTCATATGTTAATACCACTTCAGAAAGAAGGATCCCAGTATATGCAATGGATTTGACCACTAAATCTCTGCGGTTTAGGGTTTGTTTTTTTTTGTTTATGCGACCTGTGTATATCTGTATGCTCTGCTATATTGCAGTTGAAAGTATGGTGGTGATTTTTCATACTGTAAACCGCTCTAGCATGTAATTAACAGGAATTAAAATTCAGATCTAGTACACCTGCTTCAGTGATCTTAACTGTAAAAGGATAGTTGTTACATAAATCTGCTAATGAGAAGTTTCTAGAATTATTGCTTAATAATTAATGCAGTAGTTAAATGGGCCCTGAGGCTCATACTTGCTCATTCTTCAGTCTTGATATGCAGGGTTATAATTTGTAGCAAACTTCATCCAAAGTATGTCCATTAGTAGTCCTGTGGTAAACATTGAGCTAATTAATTGAATAACCATGCAAACCAACTTTTCCTTTTTTTTTCCCTTCTTGATTTACTATACTAGACTAATGAAAATGACCTGAAGAAGTTTTTTGCTCAGTATGGCAGTGTGACAGAAGTGAAGATAATAAATGACAGAGCTGGAGTATCAAAGGGGTTGGTATAGTAGAAGAAGTGTATTGTGAAAATTGAAAACAACAGAAAGCTAACCATAATAAATTAGATTGATTTTTATAGCTCATAATATTTTATTATTGATGTTTTATTATTCTGTGTATGCAAAAATCTGTTCTTGTCCTTTAATATCTTTATATAAATGTCTCCAATTTGCATAACTAAAACTTTATTAGTCATATTGTTATAAGATGAAGCTGTGTGCAGCTAGGACAAAATCAATAGTTTCCATTTCTTCAGGTTTTCGTAGTGACTATTACTTAAGTAGATTATCCTATCAAGTTTATTTAGTTATTAAATATATTTATTCCTATTACTGAAAGCCAGTGTGGAAAGGAGCCTAAAGTTGAGGAAGAGCTGAGATACACCTGATTGTGCTGGAGTAAATAGCAGTAACAGATTTTTGTGTGAAGATTTTTGGAACAGCAGCATAGGGGACAAGTCTGATACTAAATCACGATTACATAAAATGGAGACTGGAAGTCACCAGTAGCAGAAATAACAACAAACATGGAGAAAGATTAAGATTGCATAGTAAAATTGTTGCTGTAACCCAAAGGATGGTGCTGTAAATAAGGTACCGAATTCCACTGCCAGAGAAGAGGGGAGAGAGGGCTGAAGCAAGAAGGAATGTGCATGAGAGTTCACCTCTAAAGTTCTCTCCTGAGCAGTAAGGACAGTTTTAATGCTGTCAGAGCTTAACATGTGCCAGCAAGTTATGTGCTGAGCTGCAGCTCTTAGCACAGAGAGTGCCCTTGCATGACATCAGAGACTTGGTCCCAGATCTGTCACCAAGCCTCTTGCTCTTTTAGTAAATTCAAAGAAATATCTGAGAACTGCAGTGTGTGTGCGTCCCTATAACCCATAATAATTATGCAGTTGTGATTGCCAGCATACATCTCACAGCAGATATGTTGGATAATAATTACTTTCCATGCTGTTAGGATTTCTGTTGAACTCCAAGCAGGCTTCATTGCTTCTACTTCAGGAATGATTTTAAAAACTTACAAGTTTGTGATTACATCTATTAGTTTATTGTCCAATCTACAAAATGAAAAGTCTGTGTAGGTGAAGTCCCAAGCAGGAAAATACTTTGTAGTCTTTGAACTTGGAAATGTTTCCAGGTTTGTTTAGAGAAGACAATACAAGAAAAGCCCATTAATTTGAAAGTACAGCTGGTCAGATTTACTGAACCTCTGTATTTAAATTAGTATACAAATGCTCACAAAGAATGATAACCTTTTATTGCAAAATCTGATCTGCTGGCAGGAGGGGCAGAGGCTCGTACATTCTGTAATCTGACCCTGAGAAATGAAACATGACCCTAACAAATCACGTGTACAGAAATACACATTTCACATTTCAAAGATTTCAGTAATACTTGAAATTTAGGAACTCAGGTTTAATGGAGTGGGGAAGAAGGTTCTTGGGTTTTCTTATGTATGTGTTGTATACATTCAGATAATTCCTTTGAACTGGCAGTGCCGCCAAGATTGCTCTGGGAATGAATTGAGGGGATTTGGAAAAGCAAGAGTTCTGACTGGAAAGCCTGTTTGATTTATTACAGCAGTTAGAAGAGGTACGGTAAAAGACACAATGTGTCACAAAGTATGAAAATTGCTTCATCCTTGATCTCCGCAGAACTCTTTTTAATGCTAATCCCGTTAAGAATTATGAGAGAATTCACAAATAATGGCTGCATCACTGTTTTTTCTGAGAACTCAGTTTAAAAGAGTGGATTGTGCTTGTGGCAGTGTGGAGCATTTACAGTTGTTGCTGAAGTAGGTGGGGGCTGTAGTATGAATTACAGTGTAATATTAACTTTAAAAAAAAATCCCAAGTGTTTCATCTTTGGTCACCACAAGTGAAAGGTTTAAATCAAAATCTTTGTTTAATAGCAATGAAGGAATTTAAGACATAGGCTGAGTAGCAAGATCACCATGGTCATTCATGGTGGTATATTGCCACATAATTGAATGTAATAAGGAAGATGCTAGGAGTACAGTTGTTAATTCAATCTTTAGGGGGGGTTTTTTTTACCCATTAATTTACCTTGTAATGTTACTTGTACTGTACATAAAGTAATTATGTGCTGTGTTTGTAATTACAAACTCTAGAGGCTTAGCTTCTGTCATTTCTGTTTAGGTATGGCTTTGTTACATTTGAAACCCAAGAAGAGGCACAGAAGATTTTACAAGATGTAAGTGATAGTCCCCATTGTGTTTGTCTCTTTAATGAATTTGTTCATTTTGTACTAGGCCTGAGTAATCTTGTCCTGTGTTTGCCAAATTGCATTTGAAGTTCAGTTTGGTCTGATAGTTAATAAAATGGTTTAAAGAGATCTAAGGTAAGATTTATACGGAGATACTCTGGAGCTAAGGAAGGGAGTTCTAGTTCATAGTGCTGTTTTTTACTTTGACGTTGGTCATTATTTTCTTAGTCTACAGTACATGTAGAGTTAGGAAAAATTTATCCTTCACATTCCACTGCTGTCAAGATTTTTGTGTGAAAATTAGTAAGGTGACTGCTATCATTTATTGTCATCTTTGTTTGTCAGACCTGATTTAATGCTTTTTAGAAACAATTGGGTTCCCTTGAAGCCTGGAGTGATGAAGCTCAAGTCATTTAATTTTTGCTTCTCTTAGCTATGTTACTGTCTTGACACTCCTTGTAGAGCCTCCTTTGAGACATGGTCAGCTCTTCAGTTCATTTGGTTTTGTTTAATTTGTGCTGTTGTATTTTGGTTGGGATGTATTGGAGACATCTGTCAGTCAGGAGTTAGTCATTCGTGTGAGGGTATGAAGGTGCAGGGAAAAAAAAACAAGTAAATAGCATCTGAGACTTGGCAAATTGCCTTCTCACAATTAGAATGCTGGTTAAAATGTTGGAAATTCCAGACCTTTGAAGTAAGTGGAGCTAAAAAATACACAAGCAGCAACTTCATGAGTCAGCTGGCTCTCTTGCCCTGCTTTTTAAAAATCACTTTATTTCTCTGGGCTAAACACCAATATTGAGTACCATTTTGTAAATGATACAATTTTGTACCATTTTCCCCCTTCTGTAACTGAAAGGCTGCTCCATGTGAAGTCTTACTGAACTCTTACTTTGCCTGCTCTAAGTTCTTTAATTTGGATGTCCTACAATTCTATCACCTTTCTCATCTTCGCACATTTCTACTATCTCATATTCATCTGAAGCTCATATAGTATCTAGGTCTTTCTCCATCTTAAGCTGTTTCTAGGCTTCAATTTATATATGAAATTAATGGGGTTTTGTTTTATACTCTTGAATTTTTTTGTGTGAAACTCTGATCTTCCTCTGATTTTTTTTTTTTTAATTTTTTTGTTTTGGTCCTATTTTGAGTAATGTCTCCAGAACTTCCTTTTATTTTGTCTACTGACTATGTGTTAGTATTAAAAACAGACCTTGAGGACTTTCATCAGGTTCCAGACACATATCAGAGGGTCTGGTTTCAGCGTACCTGCTCTCAGTGCTAGTGTATCTAAGCTACTAAGTTATTTTTCACTTCTCAGACATGTAGATCAGTGTAGAAAATAATGTCTTCTTTCTTCAATTCTAGGCTAAAAAACTCAACTATAAGGATAAGAAATTGAATATTGGACCAGCAATAAGAAAGCAAGTGCGAAGTCCTAATGCTCGTATGTATTTTTACTTGCACTTGTGTATTGTCAATATCGATAAAAGTTTTTAACCAAGATGTACCTGGTCTGCACTAATGGTGTGTGTGGCATGTGCTCAGAATGGTTTGCAGTGGAAGTAAATGCATGTGAGTGGAAGTGTTGAAATAAATAGATTTATGGTCTCTTGGTTCTTTTATCTCTCAATATATTGTTTCTTTTACTTTATTAGAGATAGTTAACTATCTAGGAACAAACTGAATGGAAATGCAAGTTGTCTGGCAGAACCTTAAATCTAATTTAGTGTGTCCTCACAGGTTCTACAGGATAAAGCAGGCTTTGCTGGTTAGTTGCATTGTTATTCATTGATTTATTTCTGTAACTAAAATCTGGATTGTTGTGTCTTGCTTTCTTTGGTAGAAACCATAAGGAATGGGTGGTTGCAGTCCCCACTCTCTTCTTGACCTGTTTGTTCTAAGATATTGAATGGATACTATGAAAATGTAGGCTATAAATCACCAACTTTTAAGATGAGATCTGTCAGTTGTCTTCACTAAGGGCTGCATGTCAGAGGTGTAAAACAGATTTCAAGTGCAGCAGACAATGAAGTGTACTTCAGGACTTTGCTGCATTATTTGTCATATGGTACCTTTTGGAAGAGTTAAGAAAAACCCATCCTTTTGCTCATCTTCGTTCTGAGGCCGGAATACAGAAGAATGTTGGTTTAGTTCTGAAGCTTTCTTTAGTTTGTCATGCTCTGTTAGAAGTAGTTCATGTGTACAATAATGCTGTTGGTGCAGACACACTTGATGCAGGACAGGTTTGCCTCTTCCCGTCTGTGTGCCTGCCTAAGTATGCCCTTTTCCCTTGTGTGTAAATATATGGGTTATTATTTGCCATGGGGAATTGGAATACTTGTTCTAACTGTGTGGTTTCTTCGCTCTACAAATTATTCAGTACGATCTTTGCTCAGGCATCATCAAGAGATTGCATGCCATTTTCTTGCTGTGCCTCATTTTACTTTCCATCTTTGACTTACACTTTCTCAGTTAGGTTGTCTGACTTGTGGGGCTTCCTTCCTCTGACTCTTATAATGTGTATATTGATAGAAAAGGGGTACATCCCTGTGTTTTAATTGAGACATGAGGCAACAGAGGGGTAAACCAAATATCTTGAAAAAACAACTTTTTGAAGAAAGCTGCTTCATTCTTTTGAGATCTTTATTTGTGGACCTGTTCAACTACTGGTTGTCTCTCATGCCTGGGATAGAGCTGTGATACAAGATCATACTGGCATTCAGACACATCCTAGGGCCTGGTTTCAGTGTCTCTGCTCTCATGCTCAGTGTACCTCAGTCACCAGGAAGCTCAGTCACCTCCTTCAGCTCATCTCATCAATCATCATCAGGGTTCATCAAGCCAGAACACCTGGACTTACAGTGTCACTGTAGAGCTGTGGCTCCATTATATTTCGCAGAATTAAAGAGCTGGACAATATACTGCTGTCCTCTATGGCCCACACATATAGTGCTTGTCTTTCGTACTGTAAAGCAAAATGATTTTTAGCTCTTCTGTCATCATAGGATCATTTGTGATAAGAGCTTTGAATGTAACTGGGAGAGACACTTGGTTTGACTTTCCTCAGCATCAAAATGTATTTTTTCGTCTGTGAATTTTCTGCATTTGATGGAAAGGATTTAGTTTTTCTTTGCCAGAGATTAATTCAACACTGGCAGAAAGTTTTTGCAATGTACCTGGTAGCTAGTGGATAGGATTGTTGGCCATGGGATCGTGTTGATCTCATCTGAGGTACCAGTAAGTGCTATTCTAGATTTCTTACTGGATCTAAGACAGCCTTTAGTTTCCTAAACTATGCTTAGCAGCATCCCAGCAAACATCTTAGCCTGTCTATGCGTAATACTTCAGCTATGTTGTTTCCAGATGTCTTCCTTTTCTAGGAATTAGTCAAACTCTTACTATCAATGAAAGCTCTTGAATGTCTGTGAAACCCTTTTTGATGTTCCACTGAGCACTCTGGTGATCTCTGCAGTGTTCTCTCTGTTCATAAAATGGCACTTCTTGATGGCTTTTGTCTTTGCAAGGCAAGATGAAAAACTAAAACTTACTTGGTGATATTGTTTATATTGTGTTCTTCCTGATTTTTTCTCTACTATGTTACTATTTTGTTACTACTATTCAGCTTCAGTTACAGAATTAATTTTCCCTTTTTTTTTTCTCTCCAGATATCTCCTCATATTATGTATTGTGTTTAATTATTTATATGGATGTCATCTTCTGCAGCCTTTCCCTTCTAGCTCTGGAGACATCCTGTAGCCATTTGCTTTCATCATTGTGTTTGAGAGGGAATTGAGATGGCATTAGACACGCTGCTCCATGTTCTTTCCTTTGAATGTTTTCTTTCTGTGAAGATCAAAAATTATCTTGTCTTTTTTTCATGGTGTACACATCTAAGAAAAGTTACTTGTAAATAACTTTTAAAATATATATTCCAGGTTCTGCTGTGACACCACAAACTGGTACAATGTATGCAACTACTGCTGTATCACCAGAAGCTGGTACAATGTACTTGACCACTTCCAGTGGATATCCATATGTTTACCACAATGGAGTGGCTTATTTTCATACATCTGAGGTTTCTCCTGTTCAGCAGCCATGGCCAGTAAGGAATTTATTTTGCTATTTATGCTTTTCTATGGAGCAGGATAACTGCAGTGTTTTCAAGTCCCTTCTGCTTCAGTTTCTTCAGCTATGCTAGATGTTTAGATGGCTTCCTTATACTGGGCTGGTTTTGTGTTGTTTTGTTTGTTTGTTTTTAAGTAACACTTCATTTTATTTTGCTTCTACAGAGGACTTTTCCTTTGGTATGACTTGTTGAACAGGATAGTTCATATTCAGTCTGGGCCTTCCCCCAGGAATAACTTTTACTATATCGAGGTAGTGATGGCCTAGTGCTTTCTAGAAGGGTGTAAGTGAATATGCCAGGGATTTTTGTTTGACGTAAGCCATTAGAGACACTGGATTTGAAGCACGTTAAGTGTACATTAAAGTTTAGTGAATCATTTTCAAAAGGGAGGGGGTGGTTCAGCATTATAACTCCAGAGCTGTGTGTAATAGGAGTGATGGTTTACAAAATCACTGCATTAAGATTTGTAACTTCTTTTCTTTTGAAGTCTCGATCTGTTTCCAGTTCACCTGTGATGGTTGCTCCACCTGTTTATCAGTCTCCTACATACCACTATCAGGTATTTGTTTGAAAATTGATTTTCAGACCATGAGTAATCCTCCAGCCATGCAGTACTATTTGCAGCACTGTCCCAGGTCTGTTTATTCTTGGGAAATAAAAAGACAGTTCATAATAATAGTGTGAAACATTTTAACTTCATTGAAGACTTACTCACTAGAATACAGTTTATTTTGCCTATGTAACTACATGAAAGTTTAATAAATTACACTTTTCTGTTGCAGGACAACTGGCTTATCAGCTAAGCCAAACTCCTGCTCAGAGTAGGGCTGGTTAGATCAGGTTTCATGGGTACTTGTCTCCATTTGAGTTTTAAGTAGCTCTAATGATGAAGATTCCACACGTTTCTGGAGAGCCTCTTCCTTTACTTGACTCTTCTCATTGTAAAAGACTTTTCCCTTAAAGCTACAGCATTTTTTAGTGGTCAGGCTTGGGTTCATTGATTCTTGTGCTCTGATCATGTCTGTTGAGAATCTGACTTAAGTATTTTTGAAGTTTATGAAATGGTCAAGTTGGAGCCTGAGTGGAAATAGACAAAACCACGTTCCTGAATAATTTGGGGCTTAATGAAAGTCGTGTTTCCTCTTTTTAGTTGAGAATTAATTACAGATTTGAGAATAATAGTGTTCTATGTGTATTTGTTCTTCACCACATTAGTGACATCGTCTTATTCAATTTTAGGCACCAACGCAGTGTCTTTCAAGTCAGTGGCAGTGGTCTGTTCCACAGGTAAATACAGTTCATATTTGCAGCATTTTACCATTATTTTTCACCTAGTTCATAGTTTGGTTGGAATTAGTATTAATTGCTGTATTTTAGCAATGTATTTACAACATTTACTGCTATAATGGAAGGCATAAAATAGCATCTGTTGAAACATTAAATATAAATCTGATGTAAAGAAAACATCTTCCCCTCCCCTTCCCTTTAGCAAAACATTTTGTATCAAATTACCTAACAAATTCTTCATAAGCAAGTTAAAACTGCCACATTTTGCCTGATTAAAGAAATGGGTTTTAACTTACCAATTAACTGATAGTAACTGATATTTCATAGGAGTAGAGAGTTAGCAGAAACATGTGGACGCACACAGGGTGAAATTTGACCCAGGCCCCTGAAGTAGAAAAAGATACTGTTAACTTATTCATTCTCGGGGGACAGATTATCTGTTTTGTAAAAGAGCAGCTTAATATGGAAATCTAGACACTTGAGGAGCTCAATGTTTGAACCTGTAAGGAGGACCAAGTCCCTTAAGCTTGAGCTGTTACACTGCAGCCTCGTTACTTCAATAGCAGCCAGCCTTGTCCAGTTATAGTCTGTTCCACTCTAATAGATCAATCCACTGCTTTGAGATCAGGGTGCTGAATTACAGAGGTACTCTAAATATTTTAAAACAAAAAACTTGTTTTGCTAGTGTAACAGTGTAACAAGGGAAAATTTAACTGTAGTATGTTTCTGTAATCTTAAGTCTGAATTTTATGAGTTTTAGGATTTTGCAGTGCTCTCTAAAATGTAATAAAATCTAAAAACCACATAAAATTGAAGGACTTTTTTATTCTACTACCTGACCTTTCTATTTCCCTCTCAGTTTCTTTAGGTTATTAAAGATTAATTTAACACTTTATTTTAAAGCTTTATCTTTCATTTATATGCAGCAAAGAAGACTGTAAAATAAGCTCTTTATCCCGCTTAAATCATAAAATTTATTAGAATAATGTGGTTTATTTCAGTCTCCTACCTCTTCACCTCCACTCCTGTATCTGCAACCATCTGAAGTCTTCTATCAGCCAATAGGAATTAACCAGGAGGGTGGATGTATATCTCCACCTCTCCTAATGGAAGCTGCAGTTCCTGAGGTATTTTTAAAAATGTGAAAAAGTGTACTGAAAATTTAAATGCTTACTTGTGATTGGAAAATACAATCTTTTCTTTTAAGCACTGGATGTTAGAGCAGTTAGGTCAACTGCTCCGGTAGTTATGTTGATGTTAAATAATTTCAGGTGTCCTCAAGTTAGAATTTCTCTTCCTGTCTAGGAGAATGCTTTGATTCTGAAATATTTTTGAGAGTCAGAAATGTATTTCAGACAGCAATATAAGGACTTGTCAATTGGTCTTGTTTGCAAGTAATGTTTAAGTAAAATGCAGTCCATTCTTTGGAATTTGGGTTTAATATCCCTGAACCACAATAGTTTATTGAAATAATTCTTCCATGAGTAGAAGCTTGTTTCTAAATATTCTGATGATCTGAGGTAATTAAGAGTGCTTTATTGTACTTAAAAATCAATTAATCATTAGAAATGTTACTGATACAGAGTCAAAAAACTGTAAGCAAAAAATACTTCATCATTCAACTGGTCTCTTCATAATCGGTTATTAAAGATGATAGTAAATAGCTACAGAAAAACTGAATTACACACATTTTCAATTTGGTATTAATTGGTACTTCTCAAATAGTCATTCCTCATGAATAGGCCAAAATAGATGCTCAAGTAGGACATCTAATACTAGTAAAACTGGTATTTCAGACATCTGAAGGGGAGAATTCTGACATGCTGAAGTAATTCAATTTCCCTGCAAAGATACTGAATGATACAAGGCTTGGGTTATGGGGGTTTTTCTTCCTTTTTCAAAGTGCATAAATCTTGGTATTTACTTTGTAGTCATAATCTTATTAACAGTACTATTTTACCTTTACTATTTCATGGTTTTGATATAAAGCTGTACAGAGATGTGAAATCTATGAGCACTAAGAAAATAGATGAAATTATTTAAGAAATATTTGGATATTATGTGCTCTCAGTTTACAGATAGGAAATTCATTCATGTTAAGGGAAGCAGTATGTCAAATTTCAGAAGAATGGTGTAAAATTCCAAGAATAATCTGTGTTACTTGTATGTAAATATTTTATAAGCCTGCTACTGCTGGGAATTAAATTTTCAATGTACTAATCTACACATTTAAACACTGTTCCCATTAGAGCTGAGTGAAATGGATTTGTAATAGAGAAGCTGCTACTTCTGTCAAGTTTTAAATCAGTGATTTAAATCAGTAAAATCAGTGATTTTAATCAGTAAAACTGATTTAAGCTAAATTAAGTTTACTTAACTTTATCAGTCGGTGGGGAAAACATAGATTTAAATATTGAAATAATGTTTTTAAAAAAGTCAGTAATTCAGATAAACATCAAAAATTTTTTACAGATTCTAAATTCATATGAAAGGGTTAAAAACATTGTGAAACAAGCTTTTGTGCTAATAATTTGTGGGGTTTTTTTTAATACCAGCTGTATTCTGATCATGGAGTTCAAGCACTACATCACCAGCCCTATGTCCAGAGTCACATAGCCATGCCTGCAGCTGTGAGTATCAAACTAAGATAGTTATAGCAAACATGGCAGTATTGCTGTCTCCTTTCTTGAAGCAGTGGCACTAAGACAAGAGTGAATGGATGAAAAAGTCTTTAATTAATGAATTGGGAAATAAGGAAGTGGGAAATGTTGGGAGAGAAACAGATTTTTCTTATCTTGAAATTTTGTTACAGAACCACAAAGATGTTATTTTGGAACTATTGGGGGAAACTAAGAAGTGAAAACATGACTAGTTAAGAGTGAGCTACAAAGTAAACCACAAATAAGAACCACTTGGGGAGAAAATGGTGAACCTCATTCAGATCTTTGAAGTGGTGGTTACAAGTCCTTGTTTCTTTCTCTGGGTCTTTACATTACATTCATTATTTCGGCTTTAATATAAAGCACCTCATGTTGTGGAGACGAGAGATTTTGAAACACAGAGAATGAAAAACTGTCCCAGTCAGTCACCTCTGGGTGTTGTCCTGTGTGGTTCTGATTTAGGAAGGCCATATGAATATTATTCTGTGTCACCTGATGCAAGTTGTTGGATTTTTTTTGGCTCCCAGTTTAAAGTACTCTTGCCTAAATTAATGAGGCTGTTCATACCATACATGAAATAATGTCAAGACTGATTTCCCTAATGACAGAGATCTGAAGTTGTCAGTAATTACACTTGATATTACAGCATTTACTCTTCTGTGAAAGGTGCTACTCAGCTGCAAGTGGAAGACTAAACATAAGTGAATAAAAGCCATGTTATAAGCTCTCTTATCCACACATTTTAAATTTATTTTAATTTTCTTAGTATTTTTCCAGACTATTGTAAAACAGCATGAACTAGTTCTTTCCAGCAGAGGGAGGTGTAACCCAAGTGTTTTCTTGGCATGAAGTGCCCTGTATTTCTTGTTCATCCTTTCCTGTTTTCTCAGAAGCCTTGTTATCTAGAATTGAAACCCTGCTCTGTTCAGGTCTCAACTAGATTCACAGATACTGAAACCTTTCCAAAGGCTTACTGAATTCTGATAATTTTATTTGTTACAGCTTGATGCTGAATGCTCTTTGGGTTTTATTTATTTAGTTAGCTTCATTTACTATTAATTAGTAGTTCTAAAATATAGCTCTCCCTTTTAAATTTTCACACTACCTTTTCACACACCGAATTGGAGTTTGAATGTTTCCCAGGTAATGGATATGATCAGCTTGTATTGTGTCTGTCAGTGTGGCTGAGATCTCATCAATGATTGAAAAAGGCAAATGTTGTCAGCACTCTGCTATGTGTTAGGCAAATGGCTGTGGTATTAGCACCTGCTCCCCAGCTGCACAAGGCAACTGCCTGGTGACTGTAGTCTTCTTAAAATACCCCAACAAATATATCTGCTGCTTGAAAACTGCCAAGTAGTGGCCACGTAAGAGAAAGCAGGTGCCTGAAGTAATGACTATACCTTGGAGGAAATCTACTAATTGCCTCCACTGCACTGTGTATTCCCAGTGCAATTCCTGGGCTTTGTCCGAGGAGCTGTAAGTCAGGTGGTGAGAGTAGGATGCTACAGCTGGTATCCAGATCTCTTTGATAGTCAAAGACTTCTTACAGATTTCAAACGCAGCTCACAGCACATCATTCTCTCTGTTCTACCATCAGTAGAACCACTATTAGCTATTGAGTTAGATCAACAAAATGCTATTTTTTAGTACAAAGTTTTTAATAGTGCTAAATGAAAATTAAAAGACAACATTCTCCAACTTCCAACTGTAAATTATTTTGAGATCCAAATTTGGTATTTAAGATCAAGTTTGAATCAAAAATGCTAATCCTCTCCCTGTGATCATGTGTTTGCTAATGAGGTTGAATATATTTACTTTAAGCTTAATTCTTTTGGCAATTAATAGAATGTCCTCTTTGTGAGCATGTGGAAGTGACTTCAGCTATTTACATTTATACAAATGGATAAGTTGAACATTCGTTCTCAAAGGCCACCAGGTGACACATTTTTTTTTTTAGGAAGTGAGAAGATTTCTCATCTCTACTGTATGTTTCAGATCCTATATAATCTCCTAATATGGAGATTAGTGTTTGGATGCTTCCAAAGGGATATGTTAAATAGTGTCTGGTAGTAAAAGTTACCTGGGCTATAGTAACAGTGGAAACTTGAGAGAGGATTGGAATTTTATTTCAGGACCAGGACAAATATCTGTGAATTAAATTTTGGTTTTGCTAAGTAGTTATCTTAAGTTCTGAGGCATTGGCCTGGTAAATGTTTGCTGTTTATTTTATGTGTATATGAGGGAGACCCCTGAGGACCGAGGACCTATGCACACAATTGCAGTCTACAGAGAGTGAGCAAGGTGTAAAAGGTTCTGGCACGTAGACAGAGTGGGTGGGTCAAGGTTGTTTTACTTCATGCTTTTAGCTTTTTTTTTTCCTTATTATCTACCTTTTTGAGCTGCAGTGTCCCCTTTGGGGGATAGGCATGGCTCTACTCTGTCACAGTTACTGTTTTTCCCATAGTTTGTGTCAAGCAGTGTTTTTGGGTGGCATCAACAGTACCAGACAATAAAGTGTCATTTGTCCTGTAGTGCCTGGATGTTTGCATTCAGATCATAATGGTGCATTACTTTGGGTTGTGAGTATTCTGTAAATTTAACTGAACATAGCACACTGTCTTTCTCTGCAGTTAAGAGTAATCAGGAAAGATTTATGTTCAGTGTGCATAGTATGTATAAATAGGTGTTTGTAAATGTTTGTGTAGATACACATGCAAGTAGATTGACGTAAATTGTCTTTTATGAGAGTTCTGGTGTAATCATTTGGGGAAAAGTTTAGTTATTTTGTACTTGTACAGCATGTTATTGTCTGATATTCCATCTAAAACAACAAAAAATATTGCTGCATATTTTCTTTATAGGTAAGTGAAATTGAAAGAGACTAAGCCTTTTGTTTATAGATATGTTAGTCTAAGAAACATGAATCTAAACTTCTGGTTATATGATTGACAAGAGACTTACCACCAGCTGCAGCTAGGTCTGTTGCCTCTAAAATGGCTGTTTGAAAACTCCACTTGCTAATTTAGTATTAACATGGGAAGGTACAGGGGGGTGCATGCGTTTTCTCATTGTTACATTCTGTGTTCTCTTTACAAACTTCTCTCTTTTCTGTTAGTTTGCTGTTATTTCAGTTCAGTGGGTTTTGTTCTTTTGATTTATCTTTACTTGATGATCCTATGGAATGTTCACTGTTAAAGCATTTGGGCCACTATAGTCCAGCTTTACTGATTAAATTTTTTTTATTTTTTATTTTTTTTGTGTGTGCGTCCAGTCCTTCCTGTGTGGCTGAGATCCATCATCAACATAACAGCTAGCAGCTGCCAGTTGTGGAATTTGGGTCAGTTGTTACATTGCAATGCTTGCTATTTATGAATTAGTGAATAATGAAACATGCTCAGATCTAACACAGTCTGCAGAATCACTTACCTGCTTCCTGCAGTTTGACACTTACTAATAATGCTCTTCATAAAACAAACTATATAATCAGTGTCGTTCATTCCTGGGATGGTAATGTATATGTAAGCTCCATCATCATTTTAGTTTAACTACCTGAATTTTATGTAGGTTTGGATTGTTTTCCTTCAACAAGAATGAAATTTTCAATACTTCCAATGTATGATTTTTTGTTTGTTTGTTTGTTTCTGAAAACTCTTTTAATTCCCTTTTGACAACTTCTTTGCTTTTTTTTCCCTATTTTGTGCAATTTACAGTAGCTTGTGTTTATAGGGCTATACTCTGGCAGGTGCTCAAGCATGCTTTTACTGTGAAAATGCTGCCTCTTATTGTTGCTTACATTTTTTAAAAAACTAAGATTTTGATGAAAAGAGCCACCTAGGGAAGAATATGTGTTTTCAATGTCTTAAAATTAGAGTCAATTTCTTACTTGATAGCCTTCAAACAGCTCACTGATTTTAGCAGGGCCTTGCTGTATGTTAAGATGTGACTTCTCATCTGCATATGTGCCTGTATGATTTATCCCCAGCTGTGGCTTTTAAACAAACATTAGAAGTCTACCAGTGTAAAACTGGGGATAATTTTCTCAGTAGACAAAGAAGAATGTGTTTGTATCCTATCTATACTAATAGAAGTTAATCAAAAGAAAAAGAGAAATATATTGGGGTTGAAATCCTGTAAAGCTGATATGAAAACTAAAGAGCATGGAACCTTGGAAGTTTTGAAAAGCAGTGTAAAACATGATGGGGAGTTAGTAGATGATGGAAAGAGACTGATATCTTGAGATTATAGTGGGTTGGATATCCTGTATATACTGCAGCTGGTTGTATTAGGAAACTATCAGAGGCAGAAGGAGGGCAAAAAGTTTACATTTAATGAAATAAAAAAGAAGTTAGTGCTGAAAAGGCCTGGGGTAAGAAATAAGGTTAGAAAAAAAGGACAGTTTGAGTCTATCATAGTTAAGTAAAGAGTAAAAGAGATGGCCAATGCACGTTTGGGATGTAGAGCAGCTGAAATAGGGGGACTGTAAGAGAATTTGATCTTTGGAAGAAGAAACAGAATAGTACAAATATTCTAAAATTTGTTTGTGCTATTACCTAAAATGGTAGCTGTGTTTTCTGCATCTTGCCATCAGCATAATTTGTCAGCAGCTAGTGGCATCCACTGACAAATTATGTAAGCACAGTCCATTGACTCTCAGTTTAAAAATAAAACAACTTTCAGTTGTTTAGTTCAGGTTTTATGTATCAGCTACTAAAAATTTAATGTAAACATTATTGTAAGTACCCATAGTAAAGCACTGCTCTAATCTACATTACAGAGAATGCTAAAGTAAAAAAAAAAGCAGTTTTTCACTGTACACTTCATAAAAAGAAATTTTCCCCAGCCAATTATAAAGAGGATGCAATTGCTTTAATAACTTGACATACCTTCATAAGACTATATGATCAATGAACAAAATTTGGTTATTTTCTTTAGTAAAAGAATTCTGAACTCATTCTAAGATTCCATGCTTGTAAATAAAGGAAGGTATTTCCTGCCACTGTGGGCTTCATGACCTAGGTGCATAATGAAAATCTGTTTTTCCTTCTTGAACCAAGTCTGTCCAGCTTATGCAATAGTGGACTGTAACTATTCATTGAAGCATTATTAATGCAGTAATGGGACAACTTTGGAATGGAAGAAACAACACAGCATTTTTCCCTCTCTTTAGGAATTGAGGTCGCATTCTGTGAGAAGAAATGTTCTGCATCATTCATCTGTGAGTCTGAAACCTCAGTATGCATGAAGTCGTCAATTTCATCCTAGAAAAGATTACAGAATGGAAGATAAAATTTTACACTACCTTCTACAGATGCTGTAAAACACTGGGTTTTTAGCTGTGCATTTTGCTAAAATACCTTTCACAGGGGAGGGTATGTTCTTCCTAACTTCTGACATTTCCCTATAGGTTCCCAGTTAAAATACCACCACTTTTTGTCAAGCAATAACATGGAATTTTATAGTTTGGTCAGGTAAAACCACGTGAAATAATAATTTTATCCCTGGATTTCTTTTCTTGATAGAAATCCTGTTACAGGACAAAAAGGTGATTTCTGAAACATAGCCTGCTGTGTGTATTCCAGTTACTAACCCAGACTGAAAGCCAGCATACTTCTACTAAAGAGATAATGTCACCTTTAACTTCTGGGCTACATAAACTTTAAAGATATGTTAGTTACAAAGTTGAAGCCATTTTGCCACATACAGCATTTTTGTACTGTGGATAAAATCTGGTTATTTAAATGTATGTGAAATTCATTTCCATTCCAAAACAATTTGTCTAGCTTAATTCTTCTTGCTGTCAGTATTCTCTGCTTTTATAAGGTGTTGTACTTGTGTGTCATTTTAGTGTTTGCAGTTATAACTTTTTAAAATAAAATTTGGACCCCTAGTTTAATAATGAATTGTTCTCATCCTAATATTTTTCTCTCATATGCATTTGGTTTTATAGTACATTTTTAGCTATAGAAAAAGGTAAGAATTGACTACTTGAATTAGAAAAAACATTGAAAATTTCTCTTCGCTTCTTTGACATTTTCTGTTGTCTGTATGAAAATAAGGCAGTAACAGAAATTGAGATGAAATACTATTTTTTTCCTTGATTCAGGAAAATAATTTTGTTTTTTGGTAGTGGTGGGTTGTTTGTTTTTTGGTTTTTGTTTCTCCCCTCACCTCCTAGGGTTCCTTCTATTCATTACAAAAGTCAGATTCCCCTAAGGTTGAAAATGCAGCCTCTCTATTAACAGGAGTTCATGGTATGGGTTATTGCTTCTTTCGCACTGAAATCTTATTTTTTATATCTAAAATATCCTTGAGCTGTTCAATTTTGTTTTGTAGTAATTTGGGGGTTTTCTTTCTGTGTGGATTTGTTTTGTTGGTGCCTTTTACCTTCTAATCATTCAGAGATCTTGCCAGGTGGACATTGTAGTCAGTGAATATTCCATGTATGATATGTAAATCTCTTTAAAGATTTTTCTAGTGTTCAATAGTGCTTTATGTGTTGTCCAGGAAGAGAGTTGGAGTCCGGTTATGGTTTTATGCTGTAATGAAATTGTTAGGAAGGGAGATGCCATGTGCTAGGTTTTGTTTGCAAGTTTCCTCAAGTGACTTTGCACCTTCTACTAGGTAGAAAAATCTACATAAATATAATTTTAATAGCTTCACTTTTTAACAATTTATTGCTATAGCAGCTGTAGTTTATTGTTTTACCAGTAAGTACCAAAAGAAGTATACAATTTTTTGGAGACATGTTGAGCTCAGCCTGTTTATGAAGGGGGAAATATTCATTTGTTTTAGGTTCTCATCTTTCTGAGCAAGTCTGTGCCACTAAATACCTCTGTCCAGTTTTGTTTAATTTTCACATTTTAGAGCTCATCAATACAAATATATCATAAAAAGATTGGCTCATCAAAGCCATAGTTCAATTCCATGGAAGAATTTTTACATAGTAAATATTTTTTAATGAAGTTTTATCTCTGAAGGTACCAAAGAAAGATAGTGTTCTGGTAGAGCCTTACTTCTTGTGTCAGGAAACACACATTTGACCCAGGATTCTGGAGATTTTGTCCCAAGCCCTTATTTTTGGAATCTGCACTTAGTTTTCCAAATGTGGCTTCCCTGTTTTTGATAATGCTTCAGAAATTCAAGAAGTAAATTTTATAGTGAGTACTAACTTAAAAGAAGAGTGTTTAGAGGGAGGTCTCTTGAACTAATTGCTTGAAAGTGTATGAATACTGTGCAGTCACATGTCATCAGATTGTGGCTCTACTCCAGACACTCACAAAATGTAGTTTATTTTCTCTTAATTGGTGCAGATGTTAGATTGTTGATAATGAGTTGATCCCATGGCCTTTGCTTCACAGATCACTCACTGTCTTTTTCCTTGCATGTGAACTTGTTTGTAAGAATATTCAGTGTCAGGCACTTAACTATCCCTGCAGTGTTCCCCTGTGGGGTGTGTAACATCAGTCTGGAGGTACTGTTAGTTAGGATTGTGTCTTCAGGTCTTAACAAAGCTTTGTTTTGATTTGAGAGACCGGGAAGAAACCAAGTAGCTCTGAATATTGTTTTTTCTCCAGGAACTGGCAGTCACTGTTGAAATACTGAGGCCTTTTCATTTATAGTGTAGCTCATCTTTCTTCAGAATGCTTGCCAAGAGTGATGGCATAACATCAGACAGCAGTGACTGAACCAACCTTTCAGGAGTTGAATCTCTCTGTAGGCACCGTTGAGACATAACTGACTCACCTTTGTGAATCCCTGTAGTTGAATTAAATATGGGCTAGTTGAATTAAGTATGTGCTGACGAAGAACTGCATTTCCTTAGTGCCTACAGTTGTCTGTTTTCATGTTCTAGAGTTCATGACTTCTTGTTCCTTTACACTGCACTGTCTTATTCTTACAGTTCAGCTTTCCAGAATGTGGAGATTCCAATGCTGTTAAACAAGTAATTTAGTTAACTGCAGATCTAGAGATGAGGATTATGGGCGTTGGAGAAAGGGTCATGTTCTCTTTGGCCTTCTGCAGTTTCCCACTGATAATTGAGGCTCCACACTCATGCTTGGAGGGAATGTATCCCCATGTGCCCTGAGGACATGCAGTAACTGATAGACAATCCTCTTAATGCATTGGCTGCCACATTCCCATATTAGCAAACTACGTTAATTTTCTGGCTTCCAGTCCTTAGAATTTAGAACTGGTTGATATCTTCTTGTTCCTACTGAGCTAGCTGTACACTGTTTTTAGCTACTGCTGTCTGCTTAATCATACATTTCATTGCAATAGGTTAGTTCT